AGAGATACATGTATCTCAAGGCAAGCAGAGCCTCATGTTTCTGTTCGCGTATAATTAAAGCACGGATCCAGACGCACCAATAACTGATCGGATCGAAACGCACCAATTCTCGGCTTGCACTGTCACGCAATGAAAAATAAAAATGCAAACCATTCAATACAGAAGGACTAGAATCTGGGAAATGAAAAAAGATAAATATACAAAAACCGTTGCCAAGAATCAGGTCTGTGAAATATTTCAAACGCGAGATATTGGGAAAAACGGTTTACCTAAATTTATAAAGCTTTGTATGGAAACGCCATGTTGGTGTCCGTTTCAGGAACACCAATATGGCCGCCGGATACCAACAGAAACATCTGTTTTCGAGTTTTCCTACTAATGCGTGAATTCTTCGCTTGAGGAACTCATAAAGATTACAGTAATATTTATTCTGAGACAAGGAATGTTTAGATTGCAAAATCTCCCAAAATCGGTAATGTTTTTAACCCACATAAGAGCTTTCCCGGTCGCCAGCTAAATGCCGCGTCACGCAAAAGCCTGGAAATTCAAGCGTCCTCTGTCGCAAAACGAAGAACCTTTTCGAACCAAAAATTTGTTTATGTAAAGATGTTTAGCTACTGTAATACCTCGTGAAAGTAGAAACTCAGAAGAATCGATAGTTTCTTAGTTTGATTTTTGGTGACGTCACGTGCAACCCAAGAATTACTGATTACGAGTCTTCATAGCCAATAACATCACGGCTTAACTGACAGACGACCAATAACATCGCGACGTAATTGACCAATCAGATGAATAACCAGAGTATAGTACCATCAACTGACGTGATACAATTCACTTTGACTCTGAAGATGACTACCGCACAGGTTGTTGAAACGTCAGTCACTGTCGACAACAACAGTCCTCTGCAGGACTTCGTTCACCAGGACGATCAAACTCAACCTACTTTTAAAATTAAAGGGTTATAATTTAGCAGAACAAATTACCTTGTAAACAGTAATGGCTGTGTACTTGAAAACATCATCTTCCTCATCATTAACAAGAGGTGCCTGTAATTCGGGTTCAGTTTCTTTTTGCTTTGGGAAAAGTAATCAAAACGTAATAACATAAATGTGCCTTAAAATTTAAAAGAACTCTCTTGATGACGCATGGCCTATTGCCAACCCTCTTACCGAGTTGCTTCCCAAAGAAGAGACAGAGGTTGTTTTCTTCTCAAAACATAGATCGTTGTAGTCAATCTTCCACAAGAGACGTTTGAGTTCTCGCTCCAATCTGTATTGCCTGTAAAGTAATAACGATAATGACAATGATGATGATAATGATAATGATAATGATAATGGTGATGATAATGATGATGATGATAATGATGATAAAGATGATAATAATGATGATGATGATAATGATGATAATGATAATGATAATGATAACGATAATGGTGATAATAATGCTGATGATGATGGTGATGATAATGATAATAATGATGATAATAATGATGATGATGATAATGATGATAATGATAATGATGATGATAACGATTGCAGTCCTTTGTGGTTAATGTTTGTAAGATAATGATGATGACGATGATACAAATGATAGTAACAATGAAAACGATAATAATTATGATCCAAGAACGAGAAGTCCAAGGACTACCGCAAAGCAGATTTAAAACAACGTGTATTGTTTTTTATAACAATATTTCGGCTGGCTGGTGATGATGATAACAATGATAGCGATAATGATGATAATTATGATGAATAGTGATAACGATGATAATGATAATAATAATGACAATGAAATGATAGATTAGTAACATTTTTTAAAACTGAGAGCGGAACGATCCACCATCAAGAAAAAAACGTTATTGCGCCAAATTTTCACTTCAGTTGGAGATTTCACAACCATTTTGGTTGTGGCTGATATTGTTATTATCGTTGTTAACATCCTCGTTGTTCGGGGGAAAGGGGGGGATCATCTGTGTATACTTACCTGTAAATATTTAATAACAGCAACAGAGCTAGGATGGCCAGTGAACCAGATACGCTGGCGATGATTTTAGTTTTCACATCTAATTAAAAACGTAAAACCAAACATAACGTTCTCTTTAAAAAATCGCTAACAGAAAAGCTTTCATATTTAGCAGATTACAAGTTACAGAAATATACAACTACCAAAATGCACTTCATTTTGACTGTTCCGCCCTCCTTTAGAGAGCAATTAACAAAAACTGTTGACAACTATCATTCTCCAGGCATTTGTAGTTTCTTTTCACCGTGTAGGCTGTCATAAAACGGTCACGTGACACGTGCGTAACTAAAATACAGGGACTCTCCGTGCGCCATTTTTTCGTCCAGTTCTATGTAAAGACGAACTTTGATCCGGGCATTTAAGACGGAATGCATCAGGAAATTGAGTAATTTTTATTTTCAGTGGAAAAAAACCTTGTACCAAAATAATTTAAACAATATCGCATTATTTTTTTACCTTTTTCAAGGGCTTCAGATGTACTTAGTTAACTGTAATAACACCAAAAATACTTTCTCACGAGAGCTTAAGAAAATAAATGTCAAATTTCACAAAATAACACCCCACACATGAAATTTTCAGAATTTTGCCTGTGTTTTCACAATTCTTGTGAAATTTGCCATTTATTTTCTCGGGCTCCCTTGAGAAATAGTCTTTGGACAGGTGTTATTGCAGATGACAAATTATATCTATAGCCCTTGAAAAATGTAAAAATGAATACGATATTGCTTAAATTATTCTGGTACAAGGTTTTTTGTCCACTGAAAATTGCAATTACTCAATTTTCTGATGGATTCCGTCTTAATACCTAAGTTATAGGACTGTTTAGCCGCATGTAAAGGAATCTAAGAGAGTCTCGGATTCTGGGTCCCACGCCGTGTATTCCGGATTCCAGTAAAAAGACCAAGATATTAACGATTGGTTTATAACTATACCTTCTCGTATTGGTCCGATACAAAGTTCCCGTGAAAACCACATTAAGGGAGTCCCGTGGGGGACCGGTTCGTCCACCGGGCCATTTGATGGCAATGCCTGACCGCCGAACAAAAACTTGTTCCCCCTTTTTGGTCTTATTGCTGTGCTTGATTTGGAAATTACCGACTGGAATCATCTCGTGTTCTTCACTTTTTTTTGGAAAAAAATAAGAAAGCGCGATTACTAAACTTTGACAGGTGTATTCTAGGGTCTGAAAGGGAGATGGGGTTGTTACTGATCCCGTATTCGCGCTCTTTTTTCACGAGAATCCCGCATCCCGAAATTCACTCATCGCTATCACGAATATCGTTTTCTTCCGGATCCCGCACTAGTGTGGCAAATTTCCTTGACCAACACCCTTCTAAAGCTCTTATTTCATTGGTCACTATAACTTGCACTACCTATTGTTTTCGGAGAAAGGGGCATTGTTATATCACCATCCCTACTGTTTTCCCAGCCAATCACAAACCTTCTTTGCAATCGGTGCCGCTTCTCCGGTAAAAGTCAAATTAGTCAAATCTTGTATTCCGTTAACGTTTCCCGAATTCAGCACTGTCTTTGGGTAAATCCCTGACCCTAGAAATATCCTTCCAGACGCCCCGGAAAAAGCCATAATCAACATCCGCTTACCTATCGGCTGCATATCCAGCAACGTCAGGTTAAACTCTGCATCACCATTAGTGTCAAAGTTAATTTTGTAACCAAGTATGCCTAAAACCGAATGCAACTGAATTAACGTGTATTTCAAACTTCAAAAAAAAGCTCCATCTCACCTTCCTGGAAGTTTTAATGGCAATTGGAAACTGTAGACATAAAAGCGTTCTGAAAGCCGCAACGCAGATAAATGCTTTAATCTATCTCTTTATTGAACTTTACTTTAATTATTGAATTTGCCACGGTGTCACAACACGGTGACAAGGGATGAAACAGGACTAGCGTCCCAACTGATATCAACCCGTTCATTACCCACCTAGCCGATGAAAGTTTGTACCACACCACCAGGGTCTACGCCCTCTACTCTTCACGAACAGCATTGTGGATTCTTTCACGTCCCACAAGAGTCGGAACAGTGAAACAGCTGTGAGACGGGGCCTACGGTTTTTCTTCTTTATCGGAAAAAAAAAATAGAATGTCTAACAATTTGAGGATGTCATAACAAAGGCAGCACATTCTCCTCAGTTATTTTTTTAAGACTCTGAGGGTTGGTCCGGCCGGGGTTTGGACCCGCGAACTCCCGCTCAGCAGACCGGCGCTAACTCTTTCAACAATAAGCCATGAAGCGTTCAAATTTTAACTCTTTCGACAATTAGTGTATGAAGTGTTTAAATGGGATCCAACAATTTGTTTTAATGGCCCAATACAGGGCAACTATAAGTTTATAATAGCTACTAAAGAAGTGGCTTCTGGGCATCATGAATGAAAAACACAAAATAGCCCTGATGCATATTTATGTCAGATGAGCAAATTTCACCACCAAAATCTCGATTTCGAACGAGCTTCTTCGAATGTGCACTCTCTGTGTGAGATTATTCTGTTCAACTCTACTGCAATGGATATTCATTTATGCAAAAACTTTCCAACTTTTTAATTTCAAAACGAGGCTTGATGGTGAAGTTTGCTCGTCTGACTTCTACATGCAAAACGGAAATTCAGTACGAGCTGGAAGATGCTTATGGCTTGCTTACTTTACTTACTATCATATTGTACGTCTTGCATCTTTTTTGCGATGATTTCACCTGTGGCGGGTTGATTCTGCAGCGTTTTGTTTAGTACAATGGCATACTGATACACAGCATCGTAAAGATATGCTCCATAAATCGGTGGCTGCAGAAAAGGCGACATACGTAAAAAACTACGTCAAGTTTATAAACACGAGGTGCAGTGTTTCATCGCAAGAACAAACACTGAGAAGAGAGTTGAGAATACGAAGCGCATCGTGCAGCGGAGTATTTTTAACGAACTTTGAGGTAATCATGAGATATTGTGTCGATTGTTTAATATGACTTCTTAAACAAAATGATTTTAAGGTGACTCGACCCAGTTTTTTGGGGGGGGTACCATCCTACTTTGAAGCTCTCTGGTATCCCCACCTTTACTTTTATCTTAAGTCTAACACATAGAATGGATAACATATAGATCAATCTACAATATAACATAAAATTTTTGGCGATCGGAGTAAATGTCACGTGGTTATAATGCCACGCCCCTTTGAGGTCCGAGTCGAAAATCGGCTGTTGCCGGCATTTTTTTGTGAAAATCTCTCGGCTACACGTACTGCGCATTAGTGTCTTGCGCTGAACAGAGTTTCACCAAAATTGCAAAGACCCAATTCGAGAAATTCAGCGGTTTCCAAATTTAGGTCATAATTTATGCGAAAATGATAAGCAAACTTTCACGGATTATATCTAATAAACTATGAGATTTATCTCTTTATTTTGGGCATCGTTATAACAGATGGGTCCTTGCAAGTCAGCAAAAGGCTTTAGGGCCTTGTAAATGCGTGCGATTTCGAGCAAAGCAAACATATAAAAATTATAGTTTTCGCTATTTGTTGACGTTTGTCAGCGTTTTAGAGTCCTTCTCACGAAAAAAGCATTTTCTTAAAAATTCGTAGTTTTTTTTCCTTCAAATTTTTTCAGGGCCACAATTGATTAACTAACTACCCGGACTCTGAATTTCATGGTCATTGAAAAACTGTGACATTATCTTCTATAAGCTCAAACTTGAGTAAACATTGAAGATTTTTAGCGTTTTGGCTGAGTTTGTGCTTTGGGAGTTGTCTATTGTTTCTAGTCTGTCATCATACAGCATTCTTGTTCAGCACGCGTGCAATGACCACGCTTGGCTGACTTCCGAATGCTCACCGAGATATTCCCGTCACGAGTTGGTTTAATTATTGGCTTGCATTAAACCTATGAAAAAATCATATTTTTGTAATAGTAAGTAGACTTAGTGTGTAGCACTTCTTGATTTTTTTTGCAAAGACACAAAAAGCACGAGAATTGATTAAAAATCGTTAGTTAAACCTCTATGTATCACGCGATGGCCTGTCTCACTGTACCAAAATTATAATATCTCGGTGAGCATTCGGAAGTCAGCCAAGCGCGGTCATTGCACGCGTGCTGAACAAGAATGCTGTATAATGACAGACTAGAAACAATAGACAACTCCCAAAGCACAAACTCAGCCAAAACGCTAAAAATCTTCAATGTTTACTCAAGTTTGGGCTTATAGAAGATAATGTCACAGTTTTTCAATGACCATGAAATTCAGAGTCCGGGTAATTAGTTAATCAATTGTGGCCCTGAAAAAATTTGAAGGAAAAAAAACTACGAATTTTTAAGAAAATGCTTTTTTCGTGAGAAGGACTCTAAAACGCTGACAAACGTCAACAAATAGCGAAAACTATAATTTCTATATGTTTGCTTTGCTCGAAATCGCGCGCATTTACAAGGCCCTAAAGCGTTTTGCTGACTTGCAAGGACCCATTTGTTATAACGATGCCCAAAATAAAGAGATGAATCTCATAGTTTATTATATATAATCCGTGTAAAGTTTGCTTATCATTTTCG